GTGTGTGTGTGTGTGTGTGTGTGTGTGTTACCTGGTGGGGACAATTTTTGACCATTTTCCTGGTACACACAGCCTGGTGAGGACCCACTGTTCTTAATGGGGACAAAATCCTGGTCCCTATTAGGGGAAATACCATTGTTGGGTCAGGGTCCCTATGAGGTTAGAAGAACAAACGTGTATGTATGTATCAAATGTTTAATTAAACTGTTATATTGTGGGTTTTAATTGTTGCTGCATTCATTTATTTTTAAGTTTTTATTTTATTTGTAGGTTTCTTAAGTTTTTTTGAGAGCTACCAGAATGTTCCACTTCAGTTTAACACTTTTTAAGTAGTGTGTGGATAACGAACTAAATTATATCATGCTAATTTTCAACAAAACTCTATCCACACTGAAGAACTGATGATCTTTGTGGACCATCCTGGACTTCATGACACCTAAACACCTAATGACCTCCGTGGACCATCATGGACTTCAGGACAGCTAAAAACTTAATGACCTTTGTGGACCACCCTGGACTTCAGGACAGCTAAAAACTTAATGACCTTTGTGGACCATCCTTGACTTCAGGACAATAAAGACCTGATGACCTCTGTGGACCATCCTTAACCTTGATACAACTAAAAGCAGATGGTCATTAGATCTAACCAGCTTCAGGTGTCAGAGACAGCTTCACTGGAAATAAATAAAACTTCAACTGAAAATATTAACATTAATGCTGAAATCAAAGTTTTGAAAACATTAAATTGAAAATATATATATATTTAAAAGCTTTAAATTAAAAACATTAAAGGAAAGTAACTATTATTGGGTACTACAGCACAAACCAAAGGAATCTAAGATCATGGAAAAGGCTTGGAACCATGCTGAGCCAAGCCAAACCATGCAGAGTAGACACTAATGGAAAAGGCCCATAATTAACATAGAAGCGTCATTCACTCTCTCAGATCTGACCAGACCGGGCTTTCTCAACAGTTCATCTACATGTCCAATCTGGTTCTGGAGAACCACTCTCCTGCATGTGTTTAGTGTTTTCCTGGTTTGAATGCTTTGAGTGAGAAAAAGTCTTCTTTTCTTTTTTTCTTTTTTGCTTATCCTGGACTTCAGGATGGGCGCACCACCCCCTAGCCAAGGCCCGGCAGGGCCCGAGGACCCAAGCCCCACCAGGCAGTCACCAGGTTGAGCCGGTACATGCCCGAGCACCCAGCCCCAGACACCAAGAGCCACCAGCGCACCGGCGGGCAGAGGCACAACCCACCAGACAGTAGTGTGGCAGGGGGGCAAGGCCCCACCACCCGTAGTGGGCCCCCAGATGAACCAGAGGAGGGTGCAACTTAAGTTCCGGCCTGAAAAATATCCAGGCATACCCAGGGCATCTGAGTGGCCATGTATACAGTATAGACGATAGGCTGGTCGCAGCACCCTCCCAGCAGGAGGCTGTAAATCACACAGCTGTGTTAACACAGCACATGATGGAGCTGGGCTTCAAAATAAATATGGAAAAAAGTGTTCTGCGTCCTTCTCAGAACATCTCTTTCATAGGTCTCTCCCTGGACTCAGTCCAGGCGAGAGTGAGGCTGACAGAAAACAGTGAAAACTGTGATGGACTGCCTGTCCATGTTTCACAGAGGAAACTGAGTTACACTCAGATGCTGTCGCAGACTCTTAGGGCTAATAGCTTCAGCGCTGATGGTGGTCACACTAGGTCGTCTCCACCTGAGAGGAATACAGCGTTGGGTGGCTTCTCAGCTGAGGATGAGTTCACACATTTCTCACAGAGTGAGAGTCACAGCTGCCTGCACTGTAGCCCTACGCCACTGGCGAGATATCAGCACCCTGACTCAGGGTGTGCCAATGGGGATTGTACAAAACAGGCCCACAAACTGATCATCTGGAGCAGCAGACATTTCCAGTCTCTGAGGGCCACTCATGTTCCTCGAGTGCTGAACTGTGGAGCAGATCTTCTCTCCAGGGGGAACCCTCTGTACGTAGAGTGGAATCTCCACCCAGATGTGGTCAGGCTGGTCTGGGAGAGGTTCCAACAGCCATCGGTGGACCTCTTTGCCTCACAAGAGAACAATCAGTGTCCCCTGTTCTTCTCCCTGCACAGCCAGAATGCACCACTGGGGGTGGATGCACTCGCACACAGGTGGCCTCGGGTCGTGCTTTATGCTTTTCCTCCCATAGCTCTCACCTCACCAACATTATTAGCCAGAGTGAGGTCAGAGGGCCTGTCAATGATTCTCATTGCACCTCAAAACCACAAATCTTTCACCCCCAACCAGAAAGGCTGGCTTTGTGGGCCTGGCCCATGAGTGGTTCAACCTTCAATCCATGGGGTTCCCACAGAATGTAATTGAGACCATACAGAATGCACGGGCACCTGCAACAAGATCTCTGTATGAGTGCAAATGGTCCATTTTTGAGAAATCGTGCACCGACTCTCAGGAAATTCCTTATCAGTGTTCTGTAGCTGTCATTTTGTCTTTCTTACAGAACCTGATGGATAAGGGAAAAGCTTTTTCCACTATCAAAGTTTATTTGGCGGCTATTTCAGCCTGGCACATAGGCTTCGAGGGAAAACCGGCAGGCCACCGTCCTTTAGTAGGTCGGTTTATGAAGGGGGCTCGCAGAAAATTGCCTGTCTCAAAACCTATGACCCCTACATGGGACCATCCTCTGGTACTGGAGGCTCTCACTACTTCGCCCTTTGAGCCTCTGGATCAGGTGGAATTAAAGTTGGTACCACTGAAAACAGCACTTTTGCTGGCACTTGTCTCTACTAAGCGTGTGGGTGAAATTCATGCTTTATCAGAAAACCCATCCTGCACAAAATTCTCTTTGGACAATTCTAAGGTGACCCTGCTCCCAAACCCTGCTTTTGAGCCTAAGGTGTTGGGTTCTTACTCTCCTATTGTGTTAGTGGCATTTAATCCTCCTCCGTTCTCTTCTGAGGAGCAGGAGAGGCTACATAAACTCTGCCCAGTACATGCTTTACGTATCTACATGGACAGGACAAAACATGTCAGAAAAAGTGACCAACTATTTGTCTCTTGGGCTAAAATCTGGAAACCGGTAACAAAACAGCAGTTTGCCCACTGGATCACTGGTGCGATTGCCTTAGCATATAGTTCAAATGGGCTGCAGCCTCCTGAGGGCCTGCGTGCCCATTCCACAAGGGGCTTAAGCTCTTCATAGGCTCTGCTCAAAGGGGTGTCTCTTCAGGAAATTTGTGCTGCAGCAAGCTGGGCTTCTCCTCACACGTTTGCTCAGTTTTATAAACTTGATGTCACAGCACCATCACTGGCTCATTCAGTTCTGAGTGTAGCACCAAGTGCACAGAAGAAGTAATGCTTTGATCAGCTGGCATGTAGTGAAGTCTGCTGAGTCTAGTTTCGCTTCACTGCTCCGTCTGGGATTTCTCCTATAGACAAGGATTTCTTCATAGCCATAAGCGAGTCAGTATATTTTCATTCCCAATGTGAGACATGAAATGAATGCTATGAAAGAGAACTGTAGGTTACTGTCGTAACCCCGGTTCTCTGAGTAGCATAAGTGAGTGTCTCACCAAGTCACCCTCCTTGCTCTAACTTTGCGAGGAAGAGGTGATAATCTTATTGAATAACCTGTCAGTGCAGGAACAACCCTATATATAGGCCCTCCTTGTCACTGAAAGGCTGATTTCCAGCCAATCCTGGCTGGCGTAATGTAATATGAGCTTCTGATGAGATCACGCCAAAGGCATTCCCCAATGTGAGACACCCACTCCTGCTACTCACAGAACCGAGGTTACGACAGTAACCTAAAGTTTTTAGTTCCACCCACCAGCTTGATAAGTTTAGTAAGGTTATGTTTAGTGGGGATTGAAAATCCATATGAGTACGGGCCTCCTAAGTGGGCCCATTGCTCTCCCCAATAAGACACCGGTCTTTATTTGAACCTTCTCATCCCTCGGATGAAGGACACAAGGTTAGAAACACTCAGTGTTCTGAGCTTCTCGGGATCCATAAAGGGGTCCCCAAGAATTCTTTTCCTGTGACTGCTCAGAGCCACGCAGTGGCCTAAGTAGTGCAAATAGGTCTCTAATTCAATGCCACAGGCATCACACAGACCATTGTCATGGAGTCCCATCACCATTTTGTGGTGGTTGAGCAGATTGTACCCAGTCAGGACTCCAACCAGTGTACTTAGAGTTTTCCTTGCCAGGGCAGTGAGAGCTTTCCCAAACCTTAGATTTGTGCTGTTAATCAGTTCCCGTGCCTGTCTACAGTCCACCAGCTTCCTCCAGCGGATTGAGTGTTGACATCTTATCATCTAGCCAGTAATGACACAAAGTGTGGCCCTCGGAGAGCTTTAATAGCAGCTTGGCTAACTGTTAGGATGGATATTTCCTTCTGTGTACACTGAAGGTCTTTGAGAGATGCCACACACTGGTGGACTGCATATACAGTATCTCAGTTTGAGATACAGTTGCAAAACAACCTAGTGGGTATTTGTACTCTCTCTTACTATGGTTGTGCAAAATCAGCACCCCTGCACCTACTGACCCCTTCAGAAAGGATCCATCTGTAAAAGAGTGGAAATGATTGGGAGACATGTCTGTCGTAGAGAGGTTAATTCAAGCAGACCTGTCTTCTATCTCTGTCTTAAAACTTGGCTCAAAATTGTATCTTCTGACCATTTTGTCTCCAGATCCTGCAGTCACCTAGCCTGGCCCTTGCCTTCCTACGCAGCTCCGCTCAATTCTAGTTTCGCTTCACTGCTCCGTCTGGGATTTCTCCCATAGACAAGGATTTCTTCATAGCCATAAGCGAGACAAGCAACATGTACACTCCTGATCAAAATCTTAAGACCAGTCAAAAAAGTGCAAGAATTTGCATTTTGCACTATTGGATCTTAAGAAGGTTCTAAGTAGACCTTCACAATGTTAAAAGAAGAAATCAGTGCAAGAGACAAGAACTTTTGAGCAGGGAATTTTCTGAAAACTGCATTTACACTCAAACATGATTTTTTCAGCTGATCAAAAGTTTAAGACCATAGTTTTTAAAAGCCAAAAGCTGTGCAAAAATCTGGATTCCATGTCATTTTCTGTCAAGCCTTTACACTGTCAAGACCTCCTGATGGCAAAAGCAAAAAAGCTCACTGACTTTGAACGTGGTAGGATTGTTGAGCTGCATAAGCAAGGCCTCTCACAACGTGCCATCGCTGCTGAAGWTGGACGCAGTAAGACAGTCATTTTGCATTTTGTAAATGATCCTGAGGGTTATGGAACAAAAAAGTCAAGTGGTAGACCCAAAAAAATTTCACCAGCTCTGAGCCGCAGGATCCGATTGGCTGTCCGTCAAGACACGGGACGATCCTCTACCCAATGACAGGGCTGTCAGCCCGGAAACACCTTATCAAAATAAAAGAGGTCATGCATTGCTGGAGTCTTGAAGTCTGGGCTGATAGATTAAAACAGCCGAAACTAGTTATCATGAGATATGATTACTGGACAGTGTCAAGGTGGAACAGATATACATAATTATTCCATAACAGTATCATTATTAGGTTTTAAATATAATGAAATAAAAGTAAGGATTTAAAAATTACTTGGTAAAATTACAAATCCTTAAAACATTACTCAAGTACTGTAACAAAGTAAATGTACTTAATTAATATAAACCTTGTTTGATGCCAGACTTATTTTTCATGATTTGGATTGTATGTTGGTGACTGGCAGCTGTCAGTCTGTAGTCCAGTTGTTTCTTGATGTTGTCTGAACACACTGAGGACATGTGCACATGTGCATTGCACGTGGTGGACAAGTAGCTCCTGGTTTCAGAAATTCTCCTGTAAACAAGTTCACCATGTAAGACAGATATTACATTACAAAATATCTTAGTTTTTTTTTATACAAACCTTTACATGTGATAAATGATCCTTTAAATGTGTTCTGAAGAGAACGATGAAAAGAGCAAACATGAGGCCAGAAAAATGACCACACTGTACTTTATTAAATTAATTTTAGTCTGTGTCTCAGTTACAAATAAAAATTTACAAAAATCCCATATATACAAAAATGGCATTTTTTTAAAAGAAGCTTTCATTTGTTTTCTCGTTGAATGCATTTTTAGCACTTTAGATTTTCATCACACAATGCAACTTACTTAAAGGACCTATATTTTTTTGTCTTTGTTTATTTTTAATGCACCACACACATTTATTTATTTTGTCCGTATTTATATTGACATAGTTCAAACCAACACGGTGGCATCAGACCTCTACACACACCTTCAGTCAGAAGACAACTGTGTTTTTAACATTGATACTTTGCATACATGTATTTACATATAAGCATTTCAGTTCATCAGATCCATGTTTGATCCTCCATGACACACACAGACACACACACACACACACACACACACACACACCTGCAGACTCCTTCAGCTGGTGACGGCTGCACCGAGGTTCTAATCTGGTCTTTGAAAGCTTTAAAGAATCATCTCTTGTGTTTTCTTCACGTGTGCAGCAGAACTATTGATGCTCACAGGAAACAAATCAGAAACCAACAGAACCATACGGAGCCCAAACCTTCCTGCTCTGCTTTCAGCTAAAGAACTGTCCCTGACAGCTGCCCCACCTGTCTTTAACAAGTGAAAATAGGTAGTTTAAAGAATTTCATCATGGCACGCGAGACTTGTCAGATTCTTGTGAAGCTCGGTCAAATCTCCTGAAATGATTTGGCTGAGGAGAAAAGCCCTGCGCCTGTGGGAACCTGCACCAAACACACTCCACTCAGGTGTCTACAGCTTTCAGTACAGCTAGGATTGAACTGTGTCCAGAAGTCAAGCAGAAGAAAGAGAGGAGGAGGAGGAGGAGTTTGTTTTTACAGTTCCTGAGTGATAGATGATCCACATGTTGATGGCAGGTCTTCTCTAAACAAGCAGCCATGCTGTTTGTCTGCAGCAGGATTTCTTGGTGAAGAACAGCTTCCTGCCTTTTACATCATGTCCCAGTCGCCATGACAGCTGCATCTTTCCACAGTCGCTCAAAGACTTGTTCATCCTCCATCCCATAATAATACTGCTGCTGCTAACACATCTTACAACAGCTTAATGGTGTAAAAAGACATAACTCTGGGTTTACAGTTATTAATGAGTCCAAATATTCATCTTCATTTCATAGGTGTTGTTATTTGTTCTTTACATCTGTTTTTATTGACTTTTAGATACAAAAAAAAAATGCATAAATGAGTTTTTTTGTTGTTTTATGTTGTGATGGTGAAATATTCTGAACATGTAAAGCTGCTGGATGTAGAGCTGAAACATAAAGATCTGATCTGAACTTGGAGTTCGTGAATCCCGTGGACCATGATGCACTGACACTGAGCGTACACAACAACATCATCTGTAAAGAGGTCAACAACGATCTGCCTGCCACCATAAGGGTCAGCCTTCCTTTAGTCACCGGTGCACTAAATCAGCCACTGATGGTTTCATGTCTAAACTGTTTGTTGCACACATTTCTTTCAGGGTTTCGAATGTCAGAACAGCAGGACTCGCATGACAACGTCGGGAATTTTTGGACACATTTCGAAACATTTTGTAGACTCTCTCACTAGCACGTGTCCAGTTGATGATCTCGACTTTAACAGGTTTGAGTTTTAGAGAAGCTGAGCTCCATGAGATGCTCTGCACTGAGAGGAAACATCTAAACTTCGTAACTGTGCTAAAAGTCAGGTTTTATTCTGCTACTGCACTTGTATCAAAGCTAAAACACATCATTCTGGGTTGATGTCACGTTCAGGATAACCCTCCCGCTGCAGAAAATGCATTTTTTTTAAAAAGTACTTTTATACTTTTGAGTTGATTTTATTTACTGCTAATTTCACTTGTGCGACAGTAAAATTTGAACAAAGTAACAATTTTTATTGAGCCACTTATTTTATTCAGTTTGAACAAACAATGGGAGTAAAACCAGAATAACCCTGTCTCCACTCACTACAACCACTATCTTCCAACAGAGGAGACACAACAAGAGCCTGACCAGCACCAAACTGACCCGAAACCAGGCACCCCCCCCCCCCCCACACACACACACACACGTTTGTTCTCCAATCCTCA